CATATATATATGTATACACACCGATATTTACATATATATATATATATATATAGGGTCCCAGGCCCTCCAGAGTGCACTGATTTATCTTCCTGCCGTTTCGGGCCCGGCGGGGGGCGCAAAAAAACGTCAAGGCGGTCGAGAGACGTCCAAGAGAGCGCCAAGATGGCCCAAGAGCGCTCCAAGAGAGCCCTAGACGGCACAACAGCGTTTCAAAATTGGTCAAACATGGCTTGGAGACATCCAAAGAGGGCTTCAAGACGGCCAATATGCTCTCAAAAGGACTCCCACGAGGCACTCAGGAGGCGAAACAAGTAGGTTTTTCTATGGCGTTTGAAGGTTTTTCGTGTTCTTGCTGTTTCGTGCTTCCGACGGTCCAAGACAGCCCACGAGGCTCCAGAAATCAGCTCAACACGGCCCAATATGCACCCAAAGAGGGCGCCACGACGGCGCAAGAGAGCCCCCACACGGCCCACGAGGCGCCCAAGATCGCCCAAGAGGGCCCCAAGACGGCCCCAAGAGGGGGAGCACGAGCCGACCATTCGAGCCTTCCGCCCCAAGAGGCTTCCAGGAGGCCCCAAGAGGCGCCCAACAGAGCCCTAGAGGCACCAGGGCCCACGAGGCCCCAAAGGGGCCCAAAGAGACGCCCCACGAGCACCCCAAACGGCCCCCACTGAAGGCCTCCAAAATTGACTTCAAGTGGCCCCCGGGAAGCCTCCCACGAATCCCAAACGAACTTCCAAGGACCCTCTGACCCACAACCCAGGCACGGTGGCGGGATGGGCCGAAGGCCATTATCCAGAACGTGAACCGAGAACCCGAGATCTTCGCCCCAGGAGACCCCAGGAGGGGTCAAGAGGTCCCCAAGAAGCTTGGCGACAGATCACCAGTCGACGGGTCGATGAGAGCGGAGGAGGAGGCATGAGGAAGAGGCTGGAGGAAACATATCATGTTAATTTCATTATTCATGACCGCCTTGTTGTCTCAATGCGGCCAGCATTCGACCAGCTAGAACCATCGCGCGCGCGAAGCGCGCGCGATGGTTCTAGTAGAAGCATGCAGCGGAACTGTCCGTTGAGGTGGCTCGTGCAGGGTTGACTCGGTCGACTACCTTGACAGTGTTGATTGCCATGTCTGGGTAAGAAGAGTTTCGTTGTTTCGTTGATGTGGGTTTGCTTCGTTGCGGAACTGGTACTACTGGATAGAATTGGTCGTAGAATTGGTCCAGTAAAATAGGTTCCAGCATTGAACTGGCCGACATTCCAAACAAAAGTTCGATATCCAAGGTTGTTAGTTTGGGGCGACCAGTTATATGCCTGACCCTATATTAAATGGACCAGTCCCACGACCAGTTCTATGACCAGTTCTATCCAGTTGTACCACTTGTACCAGCTCCACGCACTTCTCCACGCAAAGGGAAGCCGCGGGGCTGCCCGTGGCGCGCCGTTGTTTGTTTTTGTTGTTTCGGCCCCGCGCTTCGTTCGATGTGTTTCGCCTTGCTTTGCGTTGCATGTCCGCGGTTCGCATTGCAGTGCGTTGAGTGCGCATCATCGCCACCAGTATCGCCATCCGGACACGATTGCCAGGCGAATTGCCTTGACCAGGGAAGCGTCGAAGCATGCAGCGGAACTGTCCGCCGAGGTAGCTCGTCCAGGGTTGACAGGGTTGACGACCTTGACAGTGTTGATTACTACGGTGGGTGGACTAAAGTGTCCACACGTGTCTCGCAAAGACCTTGAGTCATTCAAGTACGTCGGACCAACATGTATTTCCCCATCCCAGAAATTCAAAGTTGACGGATTTAGGCTGTAGACCAAATGCCAGGGACAACATGTGGACATTTCAATTTTGGGTTTGGGGGGGAGGGGTGCGAAGCAAGGGCATTTTGGAGTTGCGGTTGTTATCGTGGTGCATCGCCTTTTCGCCATGGGTGTGAACATTTTTTTGTCCTGGCACCGTCTGAGTAAGAAGAGTTTCGTTGTTTCGCTGATGTGGGTTTGCTCCGTTGCGGAACTGGTGCAACTGGATAGAATTGGTCATAGAATTGGTCCATTCAAGTTGGGTCCAGCATAGAACTGGGCGACATTATAAAAAAGAAATAATTTAGATATCAGAGGTTTTTAGTTTGAGGCGACCAAGTCTATGCCTGACCCTATTCTACATGGATCAGTTCTATGACCAGTTCTATGACCAGTTCTATGACCAGTTCTATCCAGTTGTACCACTTGTACCAGCTCCACGCACTTCTCCACGAACAGGGAAGCCGCGGGGCTGCCCGTGGCGCGCCGTTGTTTGTTTTTGTTGTTTCGGCCCCGCGCTTCGTTCGATGTGTTTCGCCTTGCTGTGCGTTGCATGTCCGCGGTTCGCATTGCAGTGCGTTGAGTGCGCATCATCGTCGCCATCACCGCCATCCGGAAACGATTGCCAGGCGAATTGCCTTGACCAGGGAAGCGTCGAAGCATGCAGCGGAACTGTCCGCTGAGGTGGCTCGTCCAGGGTTGACACGATCGACTACCTTGACAGTGTTGATTGCCATGTCTGGGTAAGAAGAGTTTCGTTGTTTCGTTGATGTGGGTTTGCTTCGTTGCGGAACTGGTACTACTGGATAGATTTGGTCGTAGAACTGGTCCAGTAAAATAGGGTCCAGCATTGAACTGGCCGACATTCCAAAAAAAAGTTCGATATCCAAGGTTGTTAGTTTGGGGCGACCAGTTGTATGCTTGACCCTATATTAAATGGACCAGTTCTATGACCAGTTCTATCCAGTTGTACCACTTGTACCAGCTCCACGCACTTCTCCACGCAAAGGGAAGCCGCGGGGCTGATGTGGGTTCGCTTCGTTGCAGATGTTCGTTGTTTCGTTGTTTCGCTGATGTGGGTTTGCTTCGTTGCAGAACTGGTACTGATGGACAGAACTGGTCATATAACTGCTCCATTACAATATGGTCCAGCATTGAACTGGTCGACATTCTAAAACAGAATTGAGATATTTAAGATTTTGAAGATGAGACGTCCAGGTATATGCCTGACCCTATCTTTAATGGACCAGTTCTACGACCAGTTTCATGACCAGTTCTATCCGGTTGTACCACTTGTACCAGCTCCACGCACTTCTCCACGCAAAGGGAAGCCGCGGGGCTGCCCGTGGCGCGCCGTTGTTTGTTGTTGTTGTTTGGGCCCAGCGCTTCGTTCGATGTGCTTCGCCTTGCTTTGCGTTGCATGTCCGCGGTTCGCATTGCAGTGCGTTGAGTGCGCATCATCGCCGCCATCATCGCCACCATTATCGCCATCCGGAAACGATCGCCAGGCGAATTGCCTTGACCAGGGAAGCGTCGAAGCATGCAGCGGAACTGTCCGCTGAGGTGGCTCGTCCAGGGTTGACAGGGTTGACGACCTTGACAGTGTTGATTACTACGGCGGGTGGACTAAAATTGTCCACACGTGTCTCGCAAAGACCTTGAGCCATTCAAGTACGTCGGCCCAACATGTATTTCCCCATCCCCGAAATTCAAAGTTGACGGATTTAGGCGGTAGACCAAAGGCCAGGGACAAAATGTGGACACTTCAATTTTGGGTTTGGGGGGGAGGGGTGCGAAGCAAGGGCATTTCGGAGCCGTGGTTGTTATCGTGGTGCATCGCCTTTTCGCCATGGGTGTGGATACTTTTGTCCGGGCACCGTTCCTCTGGGGGATGGAGAGAAGCGCCCTACAGGGATGCTTTAGGGCCCTTTTGGGGCCCCTGCTGGTGCCCCTTTATAGGCCCGTTTGCTTCACCCCCCATTGAAGTCACCCCCCCTTCCCAACCGCCCGATCTCCGCCCCCCTTCCCTCTTCTCCGGGTTTTCTTTAAAAGGAAACGCACCGTCGTTTTCAAAGTTGCTAGCAGTTTTTGTTGAGGGCTCGCATGCGCGAAGTCCAAAACATGGTGTTCTTGCACGGCTTAGGTTTGTCGCGACGCAACAGGAAGCTTACTTCGTTGTCCAAGTCACAGGAATTGCGTGCTGGAGCGATCGGGGATTGTCAGGACGCATCAGTTACTTTGATTCGCGGAGCTACAGTCCAAGGGCTGGTGTGTTGGCACGATTGAGGATCATCCGCCGGTTATCTTCAAATGGGGCATATCCTGGAATGAACATACGTGTTTGTAGGGACCAACGGAAGGAATTCGCTGTGAGGGTTTAATGCAATTTCGTTGATGCGTCTAGGGTCTAAACTGGTCCTCCTCCTCCGCGTCGTCGTCCCCCTCCTCCTTAAGTTTTTTCTGTGAGAAGTGAGGCTTGTGAAGGTGGCTGATTTTCGGCTGCGCCTCCATTGCGCTTTGGACTGGCAGTAGGGAGGGTTCCTCTCATGGTTGATGTTGCAAGACTCCCCCTCCACCTCTTCCTCCTCCTGCTCCTCCTCCTCCTCCCCTTCCTCCTGTTCCTCCTCATCGTCATCATCATCACCATTTTCATTACGATTATCATCATCATCCCACGATCCCCGACGGGGCCGCACAAGGGGGGCAGCTTTTGTTGCACAGGCTGCGGCTCGGTCGGCCGCCCAGGGGCGTGCTGGGGTCGGGGTGCTCTCGTGTCGGATTGGTCGGGGCCCACGTCCGACGGGTCGGATTTTGCGAGGTGAGCACCCGTCCGCCGTGGCGGGCGGGTGGGGGCCGTGACCGTTCTTTCAGATGCCTCTCGGGAGCTTCTCGCTGCGACGCTGAGCTTGGATACCACCCCTCCCCTTTTAGACCCCCTCCCAGCACTGTTCGCCTCGTCCGCGGCCTCGCCCTACTTGGATGCTCCTCCAAAGTTGAGGCGGATAGCAGCAGGTCCTGGACAGGAGGAGCGGGGAAGCGGAGCCGCCGCGCCCGAACTCGGAGAGTTCGACGAGTTAAACTTGTTAACATGTTTTTGACGCTTGAACGAATGCGATCGCTTCTCCAGCGGGCGTGACGTTCCCCAGCGGGCGTGACGTTCCTCATCCCACGAACCGGCTGTTCGGAGCCCCCCCCGCGGGCCAGGAGACGGAGCGAGGAGCTCCTCTTACGAGAGCTCGGCAACCCCTCCCTCGAGGTGCGCGAGCGCGACGTATCCTGCGCCGCCGTCGCAACCGCGGTCGTAGTGTCGCCGTCGTCAGGATCCTGGGCGTCGTCGTCCGTCGTCGTGGTCGTGACCTCCGACGTATTGAGAAAATCCAGGGGGGCGTTTTCAGTTTTCGGCTTCTGGGGGGCAGTTTCTGAGCCCAGGGGCGATGGGGCACCGCGATTGGTGACCAGGGAGGCCACAGAGACGCAGGTGGATGAGCTGGGAAAATCCAATGCGGAGATCCATTGCAGGGAAAGGCGTTGCAACTTGGAAGCGATATCCTAAACTCAGGAGGAAAACACACACACACACAGACACAATCAATCGTCGATCCCCAGAAAATATTGGAAAATATTGGAAGTGGGGGGGAAGACAAAAGCCCAGAAAATATAAGAAGATATGGGGAATCTTGTCATTTGTATATTCATGTGTGTGTCTCAGGGCACTTTCCTAAACGGCGGGGCCAGGCGGAGCTCCATGGCCGAGGATGTCGCCTCTTGGCTCTCGGAGGCTGAGTGTTTGCTGCAGTGTTGCTGGTCGCGTTTCACCCGCGATAGAGGGTCCGGCTTGCATGATGAACACTTACTTTTCAAAAGGGGTTCGGCCGTTCTTTGGTTTGCGTGCGTTCCGCTACCTTTCTGGCTGCGAGCCCCCCTGGTGTTCCTTCGGACTTCCTGGACTCGCTTGGAAAGAAAGGGGCTGCGTTCCTTATGTTTCGTTCCTTAGGTCAGGCCGAATACTGAAGTTTTACGATCGGTGTTTGTTGCCGACTGCGCACGGCATGGTGCTGCAGAGTGCGCGCGTTGCACGGGCAGAGTCCCAAGCGGTCTCCTTGGGAGATTCCACTTGGAAGCTGGAAGCTCTTGGGCCCATGGTCCATCAAGCAGATAAAGTCCTGGGAATGGGGTCGCGTATTCTGCGGTGGAAACCCCTGCCAAGAAACACCCCGCTTGCCTCCAGGGTGCCCTGGGTTGCTTGGGTGTCGATGGTTTTGCGATGGAACGCGTGACGTTCCCGCACCAAACAACCACTGGACGTCTTAGGGTCTCAGGGTTGTGCTTCTTGTGCGAGGTTTCTTGTGGTCGAGCTCTTACTGTAGGGACCCAGTGTTGAGCTCGGAGTCCAGAACATGCTCTCACATGCTTTCGACCACTCTTCGGGATGCCTCCATGTTATGTTTTCCGGGGCCCTCCTGGCCACGGCGGCCCGCTTCGCTTCGAAACCCAAGGCCAGCACACGCTCCAGGACGGGCCCGCCAGCCGTCATCGTCGGTCGGGCATCGGGGCCACACGACCGAGGCTTGTTGGCGAGTTGTCGCCCTCCTGGGGTCCCCCCAGGGCGCACCGAGACTTCCAGAATTCGTCGTCGTCGTTGTCGTCGTTCTTCTTCTTCTCATCCTCCTCCTCCTCCTCCTCCTCCTCCTCCTCCTCCGCCTCCGCCTCCGCCTCCGCCTCCGCCTCCGCCTCCGCCTCCGCCTCCTCCTCCTGCTCCCTCTTCTTCTCTGCGACTCCCCCCCGCGGTCTTTGCAGTGATTCGGCCCAGTGGCCGCACTCTTCGAGCGGCTCGCGGGCCGCCCTCTGCCCTTGACGGACCAGTAGGCCCCAGCGTCCGGGTCCTCCTGGCCGTCTCGCGCTTTCGGAGCAGCGGCGGAGCGTCCTGCTTTCGAGGTTTCCGTCGCCTGCCCCACCGGCTGCCTCGGGCTGGTTGTGGACTTGAGCGGCGGGGTCTCTCCCCTGCTGCTCGCGTCGGTCCTCTCGCTTCTGGGAGGGACCGTTTGCTGCAGCTTCTGCGGGGGTTGCTGTGTCGCGGACCTGGCGGTCCGCTGCGCGAGCCCTTTCCTGGCTCGCGTTCGCGGTGCGCTCGGCGCGCCGTTCCCAGCGCCCGCGAGGGCAGCTGCTCGGGCCTTGGCCTACGGCCCTAACCCCCAAGCCGCCTCGCGCGGCGCGGCGGCGTCGGCACTTCGGCCCGCGTCGCCTCTTCGGGGTCAGTCCCCTCGGGCTGGCCTTCGGGCCGCCCTCTCGGGCTCCCCCGCGACGTGCGCGCTGTCAGTTCCGCAGCGGACCTGGCGCGTGTCACGGTGGGTGCGAGAGAGCCCCCGCGCGCTGGTGATGATGGCCGCAATGCCAGCCCTGCCACAAGGCCCAGTGTGACCTGAGCTCCATCCATTCGAGGCGCCATCTGCGACGAGCTACGAGAGCTGGCGGCTCGACGAGGGGGACCGCAGCTTCGCCGTGACTCCGCTGGTTCAGCGAGATGGTGGCGCGTTGCTCGCTCTTCCCTCTTCTTTCCGCTCGGCTGCCGATCTGGCGGCCGCGGAGGCGGACGGCTTTCTGGGTTGCTGGGCCCGTTTTCGGTGCTGGACATGCTTCTCCTCGGGGCAGCTTCGCGCGCGCTGGCAACCACGGCCTCGGTCCTGGTGATCGACTTGGACGTCAACGAGCTGGAGCTCGAGTCTTTGACGCCGCTGCCCGCGGCCCTGCCAGCTGACCTCGCCCCGCTCGCCACGGCGCGGAGTCGAGACGACTCGCCGCGCCCGACCAAGGCGAGGCTGCTCCGCGAGCAGTTCGCCGCGCCCCACGGAGCCCCACCTGCCGACGGTGAGGAGGACCCGCCGGGAGCCGAGCTGGCGACGCCGCAGCACGCGGCGTCGGAAGGCGTCGAGGAGATCGGGCCCATCTCGGACCCGGGGGCGGCGGGCGACGGCGAACGCGAGCCCGCGGCCCCAGCGGCGGCCCCTCCGAGACGCCCGGGGGCCCGCGCAGGGATCGCGGCCTCGCCCGCCCCGGCCGCGCAGCCGCGAGCTCCCAGTCGGGCAGTCGCCGCCCTGGGCATGGGCGATGGCGCCCCCATGACCAGAGCGGAGGTCGTGGTCGAGATGCCCCGTCGCGACGCCCCTCAGCTGTTCGAGGGCGAGGCCGCCCGTCTCGGGACCCCGCTGCGCGACCTGCAAATCCTTGCGACGCGGGCCCCCCCCGCCCCGCATCGGGCGCAGGCCAAGACGGGCGCCCCGCCTCAGCGCTGGCGGCAGCGCGGGGAACTCTGCGACCCGCGGGCGCGTCGGTCAAGTCCCCGCCGATTCCGCGCGCGCCGGCAGGTGGGCCGCCCCCGAGGCCCCCTGTCCCCGGCCGGGTTCCCGCTCCCGCTGAGGGGGCCGCCGCGGGGGGCCCTCCGCCGACCCAGCTGCGACCGCGCCATCGACGCTGGACCTCGCCCCGGCGCCTGCGGGAAGCTCTCGCGCGCCGGCAGGCCCCTCGAGCGACGTTTCATCCCCTGCTGGGCTCGCTTACCGAGCAGGCTCTGGCACGGCGGGGTCACCCAGTGGACGGCGCGTCCGCGATGACTCAGACACGGGGCATCGCGCGACTTCGCGAGCGGCCGCAGGCGCCCACTCAGCGCGAGCCTCGAGTCAGCGAGCTGATGAAGGAGAATTTGGCCCGTGCTCTCGGCATGTTCCAGTATTTTCGGGGGCCGAGTCCTCCGGGCGGTCAGACGTCGACCCGCGAGCTGCCGACCCACTGCGCGCGGCCGGGTGCCGAATTGTGGCGAGCCGGCGAGGAAGGGGTCGCAGAGCGCGTCTAGATTCGGCTATTATGCCAGCGAGTGTTCGCGGATCAGGCGGCGGGGGATCGCGGGCGCCTCGAGGCGGCGCGGTCCTGGACAGGCCCAGAGGGCCCGCCGACGCGCGCGACGCGCCTGCGCGCAGAAAGGGGGGCTCACAGCCCGTTCTCGCCGCCAGCGGACCCGCGCTGGCTGTCGGCCCAGGGCGAGCACGCGAAGTGGCGCTGACCCCCTTCCGGCCCCGCGTGGATTCTGGAGCGGGCGGCGGCTTCGGAGGCCCCGATCTCCCGGCCGAACGCGGAGGCAGAAGCGAATCCGAAGACAAACGGAACCACCCCGCCCACGGCGAAGGCGGGCGCCTAGCCACCTTGAGGCCGATGGGCCGCCCCCGCGCGGGCGGCCCGCGGGGCTCTGCCCCCGCCCGTCAGCCCCCCCCCCCCCCCCCACTGACGCGTTCGTGCTGCCGGGCGCAACGGGCCCGAGTTCGATCGCGGAGGTTGGGGCGGGCGTCTCCAGGGAGGGCGCTGCGCCGCCGCCGGGGGAAACGAGCCCCGCCGCCGCGACTTGGCCTCGGAGGCTCGAGCGCCCCGCCGTTCCGCTGGCGATTTGGGCCCTCGCAGCCCCCTGCCTTCGCCCGCTGCAGCTGCCAGGAGAGCCCGGGCCGAGTGAGGTCGCGAATGCGAGACGGCGCGTCTCCAGCGAGAGCGTTGCGCCGCCGCAGGGGGGAGTTCGTTCTGCCGGCGCGATCTTCGCCCGTCAGCCCCCAGCGCGGTTGCCTCTTCGGACAACCTTGGTCCGCCTACTTTCGGCGACGCACCCGCAGGCGCTGAGAGGGCCCCGCCGACCCTTGCCTCGGGTGGGCCGCCCTGCTTTTCGTTTTTTTTTCAGGTAGCCCCCGCGCTCCTCCTGCGAAGCAGCACGCGGCCCCTGTCTCTCCCAATGCTTCGGCCTCGGCCGATCAGACCGCCCGTTTCGCAGCGGATTTGTCTTCCTGGTTGCGCTTATTCCCCGGCGCGAACGTCGATATCTCCCGTTGAGTGGTTGTTTTTGTTTTGTCCCAGGTCGGGGCGGGGGCGCGGCGTTCCCCGGCGCCTTTCCCCCGCCCATCTCAACGCCCGTCGGGCCAGGGCGGTTCCCTCGCTGAACCGCTTCCCCGCGATCCACTGCCGTGCCCTCCAGCTCCACTTATCCTGCCGCCGCCTCCTTCTCTGGTCGGCCGCGCGCGGTGGCGGTGGCGCCTGAGCCGCGCAGCTCGCGCGCTAGCTCAACGCGCCGCGATTGCGCTAAACTGGCTGACCCTCAGCCAGCCGAGCCTCGCCCCCGCCGAGGCTCGCGCGCGAGCGACGTCCTCGCCCTGCCAGGAGGGCGCGCGCTGCCGCAGAGCGGTCGCGCTGGGCTGCAGTCCGCCGTGCCCGAGGGGGCAAACAACTTCTGCTAAGTTCAATGCCGGCGAGATCACGATCCATGGCCTGGCTACCCACGCTGCAGCTCAGGAGGCCCCCCTTCACCTCCTCTTCCGCCCGCTCTTCGCCCGCGCCCCCTGCGCCCTGGTCGCCCGCCGCTGCGGCGTCGCGGGGTCCTGCCCACGTCGAGCCTCTTCGACCCCAAGGTCAAGGCGCCCCGCACCAAGTGTCCGACCCGATCGCGCGCCAGGCGTTTCTGGACCCTCATGTCATGAGACCCCCAAGGGCCGAGTGGCCCGCGGGCCAGCAAAGGGCACGCCTCAACATGGACCAAGCAGACCTTTGGGGACCTCTCCACGCGCGGGACGCCTGCGGCGCCTTGTACCTCGCCCCGGCTGCGGATCTCGCCTGGGAAGAGGCGTGCGGAGCCTTCCGAGTTCGATCGGGTTTGGATTGACCCGGGCCAGAAGATCCCCGACCGCTCGCCAGGGCGGAGCGAGAGAAACCTCCTCGCCGTCGTCGTCGTAGTCATCGTCCTCCGACTCGTCACTTTTGCCGTCGTCGTCGGCGTTGTCGTCGTGCTCGTCGTCGTTTTCGTCCTTGTCTTTGCTGCTAGCGGCGTCGGGTTCATCGTCGGAAAAGAGGAGGAACGAGGAAGCATGGAACCACCACGAGAGTCTTGGTGGGTTACGGCACCTTCTGGGGTTCAGCGGAGAGTTGTCGAGGGTTCTTGGGTGCTCTCTCAGGTTGCTGATTGGTTGGGGGTTCATCGTGGGAGGAAGGCGAGAAGAGGAGGAACGAAGGAACAGGAGAGTGATGAGAAGAGTTTTCCCACTGGGAAGCAAAACCACGTTAGGGTTCAAGGGGGTCCAGAGTGGGCGTAGAATGGTCAAAAAAGGAGGAGAAGGTGGAGGAGGAGGAGGAGGAGGAGGAGGAGGAGGAGGAGGAGGAGGAGGAGGAGGAGGAGGAGGAGGAGGGAGGGGGAGAAGGAGGCCAAGGATAATTAGGTGGAGGGGGAGGGGCACGAGGCCAATCAGGACGAGAAACACGGAACGGAGAGAGGTGATACGAACGAGGAAACGAGGAGGGAAAGGAGATTCGAACGAAGATGGCCAGAACGAGGTCGAGGACCTTGACGTCGAGGATGACAACGAAGACAAGGTCGAGCACGTTGACGAGAACGACGACGAGGACGAGAATGACGGCGAACTGGAGGACGAGGACGAGGGCGACGAAGGCGACGACGACGCATGCGATCATGACGACGACGACGGCGGCGAGGACGACGAGGAGCACGACGACTGATAATATGTCTCCTGATTTACACGTTCCTTCTGCCTGGGCTCATGTTCCTACCCCTTCGCAGCGAGCGAACGAGCCAGGAGGACGAATGAGGACGACGACGACTGAGAATCGAGCGGACGAGGAGGACGACTGAGAACGACCACGAATCGGGGGCGAGCGAGCGAACGAGGAGGAGCTGGTGCATGCGACCCCTCCAGGTGCGTGCGGGGGCCGAGGGCAGCCTGCTCCTCGTCCACGTCTCGACTTCCGAGGCGAGGATGGAGGGCGAGGCGGACGTGCTCTCGCTCCTGCACGCCGCCGCCGCCACCGGCCTCGTCCGCGTGTGCGCGCGGTTCATCGCCGAAGGCCTCCTCGGTACGATCGAGATTCACCGAGCGCGCTCCTCTCCTCGCAAAGTGCCTAAAGTCGGACCGAGGTATAAGATCGAGGTCGGTCCGGGGAGTGTACCATAATGTTCTTCGTGTTTGTTGGATGGTCTTGTGCATCTTGGGGATGATACACTTTTACGTTCCGTGTGTGTTGTCCGACGGAGGGTCTCAGGTTCTTTAAGGATGTTATTGTGGCCTGGGTCCGATTGTACTCGCAAGCGTCCGAAAAGCACATGCTCGCCTCGGTGCAGTGGATCGTGAATCCCACCCGACGGATCCAGGCCATTTGCGAGTAGTTATTTTGCGAGTAAAGGGACGCGCTTTTCTAGAAATGGGTACGGAAGCAATGAGCACGAAAACCGATAGCAGCCGCAGTCCTGTTTGAAAATGATGCGTTGTCCGCGTCGCTGCAGATGTTGTGCATTTGAGGTAGAAGGCCGCCTGCCCAACAGCGGCCGCTGTCGGTTATGGACAACATGTGCTGTTGGGCGTCGTACCCTTGTGAACGACGATCAATATAATGGAAGCATGTTGCTTAATAGCTTCCAGAGGTTTAAAGCATGTCTTAAACATGCTAAACACATGGTGTGATTATTGTTCGAACATGTTTCATACGTGTTGCACGCATGTTGAACCAAATGATCGGATTGTCAGGGTGTCCACTGTCATGGCATCCACCCATTTGTCCCGTACCCAGTTTGGGCCTCCACAAGGTCTGCGCCCCAGGTTTCCAACGTATTAAACATTATCTTGGCGAAGGACCCAACCATATGCAATTGTGGGTACCGCGGTTGTGAGCCCCGCCTTCGGTGGAGCTCCCTGTGGGGCCACGCAACGCGTGAGGGGTGTGCCGAAATGGATGCTATGGCGCCATGCGAACCCTGCCAGTGGGGCATTCGATGGAGCTCCCTATGGGGCCACGAAACGTGTGAGGGGTGTGCCGAAATGGGGCGGGGACGCCAGGCGAACTTTGACACTCGGGCCTTCGGTGGAGCTCCCCATGAGGCCACGAAACGTGTGAGGGGTGTGCCGAAATGGGCGCAGTGGCGCCGTGCGAACTTTGACACTGAGACCTTGGGTGGGGCTCCCCATGGGGCCACGAAACGGGTGAGGGGTGCGCCGAACTGGGGCGGGGGGCCGCCATGCGAACTTTGACACTGGGGCCTTCGGTGGGGCTCCCTATGGGGCAACGAAATGTGTGAGGGGTGCGCCGACATTGGGCGGGGCCGCCATGCGACCTTTGCCACTGAGGCCTTCGGTGGGGCCCCCTATGGGGCCACGAAACGTGTGAGAGGTGCGCCGAAATGAGGCGGGGCCGCCATGCGAACTTTGCCACTGGGGCCTTCGGTGGGGCTCCCTATGGGGCCACGAATCGTGTGAGGGGTGCGCCGACATGGGGCGGGGCTGCCCTTCGAACTTTGCCAATGGGGCTTTCGGTGGGACTCTCTATGGGGCCACAAAATGTGTGAGGGGTGCGCCGAACTGGGGCGGGGCCGCCAGGCGAACTTTGACACTCCGGCCTTCGGTGGAGCTCCCCATGAGGCCACGAAACGTGTGAGGGGTGTGCCGAAATGGGCGCGGTGGCGCCATGCGAACTTTGACACTGGGACCTTCGGTGGGGCTCCCCATGGGGCCACGAAACGTGTGATGGGTGCGCCGACATGGAGCGGGGCCGCCATGCGAGCTTTGCCACTGGGGCCTTCGGTGGGGCTCCCTATGGGGCCACGAAACGTGTGATGGGTGCGCCGAACTGGGGCGGGGCCGCCATGCGAACTTTGACACTGGGGCCTTCGGTGGGGCTCCCTGTGGGGCCGCGAAGCGTGTGAGGGGTGCGCCGAAATAGGGCGGGGCCGCCATGCGACCTTTGCCACCGGGGCCTTCGGTGGAGCTCCCTATGGGGCCACGAAACGTGTGAGGGGTGCGCCGAACTGGGGCGGGGCCGCCATGCGAACTTTGACACTGGGGCCTTCGGTGGGGCTCCCTATGGGGCAAGGAAACGTGTGAAGGGTGCGCCGAACTGGGGCGGGGCCGCCATGCGACCTTTGCCACTGGGGCCTTCGGTGGGGCTCCCCATGGGGCCACGAAACGTGTGAGGGGTGTGCCGAAATGCAGCGGGGCCGCCATGCGAGCTTCGACACTGGGGCCTTCGGTGGCGCTCCCCATGGGGCCACGAAACGTGTGAGGGGTGCGCCGAGTTGGTGGGCACGCGGAGAATTGAGGCACGACGTTGACGATGGCGATGTTGATGGTGCCGACGATGACGATGGTGGCCACGATGATGGTGACGGTGATGGTGATGGTGATGATGATGATGATGATGATGATGATGATGATGATGATGATGATGATGATGATGATGATGACGAAGACGATGACGACGACGACGACGACGACGATGATGATGATGATGATGATGATGATGATGATGATGATGTCGATGATGATGATGGTGATGGTGATGGTGATGGCGTTGCCAATGATGATGCCGATGATGCTGATTGTGATGATAATGATGATGATGATGATGATGATGATGATGATGATGATGATGGTGATGATGATGATGATGATGATGATGATGATGATGGTGATGATGATGGTGATGGTGATGGTGATGGTGATGGTGATGGTGATGGTGATGGTGATGATGTGTGATGATGATGATGATGATGATGATGATGATGATGATGATGATGATGATGATGATGATGATGATGATGATGATGATGATGGTGATGGTGATGGTGATGGTGATGGTGATGGTGATGGTGCGAGGGGGAGGGAGTGGGCAGCGGGAGGAGGAGGAGGAGGAGGAGGAAGAGAGGTGGGACGCGCGCGGGGCTCTGTCTCTTGAAAACGAGGACCCAACACCACAGGATGGTTGGGACAAAGCAACAAGTTGTCTCTAGCTTTCGACTTCTGTCGGCCCCTCGCTGGGCGCCGGGACCGTCACGAGACGAAGAGCCGACCCCCTGGGGAGCTGGTCGAGACCTCTGGGGACCACGCAGTGGGAAAGCACGACATCGGCGCCTTCCTCCCCGGACACTCGGCCGGCGCCTCGAGCAAAGAACTCGAGGCGTCCAGCTCGTCGCCCTCTCTGCCCTCTCGAGGCCGGCCTCGCGCCGCGGGCCCGTCAGAAAACAGTCCGGGGCGGAAACCGTGCCCCAGGGGGAAGGGGTCGTTCGGAAGACACTCTCAATCAGTGGCGAAGCGTCTTGGCTCGCCTATAGGCGTACCAAACAATGTTCTAAGAACCTCTCGTGGTTTCCACGAGCTGCTCTTGGAACATGTTTGGCTGGGGCCGTTTTTTTAACACATCGGGTTTATGTTCTAAGAACCTTGTTTTGTGTTTTTGAACATGCGTCGGTTCTAAGAACATTTCGTGGTAGGCCTATAGGAATACCGGGACGGTCGGTCCCTGCTCGTTGGAGGTCAAATTTTGACTTCGCCCTGGTCCGAAATCCGGTCTGAGACGGCCGAATCCCACTCAATCCGATTTGTATCTTGTTGAATCCGATTTAGTCCCGCTTCATCCGCGGCCCAATCCGGCGCAGCAGCTCCTCAATGATCAGGAGGGGAAAAAATGCAGGCACGATGAATCGGCGATTCCAAGGAAAATATGGGAGAACACGGGAAATGGGGGGGAAGACGAAAACCCAGAAAACGTGGGAAAATATAGGGGATCTTGGGATTTGTGTGGTTTAATTTGTGTGTCCGTTGGCCCCTATCCTCCGTAGCAGCCCTTCGATAGGGCTTCTTGATCCTCCTCCAGCCTTCCGAAGGAGGCCTCCTGGTAGATGCCTCCTATAAGGGTCGAGGGGACCAGAGCGCCCACGCATTGAAAAAAAGTCGGAGTGCTTGATGCCTGGGTCGGACGGGGCCAGGACGAGGACAAACCCGTTCCAGAGCGTTCGCGGAGCCCGAGATATCCTCCAGAGCCGCGGGATCTCCGAGATTTTCGATTTAGCCTCACCCGAAGTCATCCTCGCCCTGGCTTGAAGTCGGGCGTGTCCCTCGATAGGGGGAATACGAAAAAATCGTCAACAAAAATAGTCTCGGGACGATTTTTTTCATAATGCTTGACTTTGGGGGGCATTTCTCTGGTATGTTTGATTTTTCGCACCGCATCCGACTCACCCACCCACCATACCACCCCAACCCAACCCGAAGGCCTCGATTTGCCGTCCATTTCTGGTGGAGGGGGGTCGGGGAACATTGAAAAAACACATATGGAATCCGTAACCCCCCCACAACCCGAAGTTCTGGTCAAATTCGGGTCTTCGGGTTGGGTTGGGGTGGCCTGCTAGGTAGTCAAGGACGAGGATAAATCCGTTCCAGAGTGTGCTAGGACGCTCTCACAGTGCTCCGGAACGTTCTGAGGAGGCCGCGGCGCCTGAGACATCCTCCAGAGCCGCGGGATCTCAGAGATTTCCAATTCAGCCTCACCCGAATTCATCCTCGTCCTGGCTTCGTCTTGGAGCGCCGGATGCCTGGGCCTGGGCTTCCACTGGCGTTTTGGTGTTCCCCCTGGGGCGTGCCGGGCCTGCCGGGGGCCCCGCCCGCGCCGCCACGGCGGGACGCAGCCCGGAGAGCGGCTTCGAGTGGCGCCTTCATCGAAGGGGCCCAGGAGAACACACACACACACACACACACACACACACACGTGCACTGTTTGCGTCGGCGGCTGGGCAGAGATCGACTGCTCCGGCGGAAAGGCAACAGGGGACACGCTGTATGCAAATTAGGGCACGCAAATGCAAATAGACGTACATCTACTGAGAATTCTGAATATCTCCGAACATTCGACGAGAAAATGCAATGTTGGGGTACATCAGTGCTGCAGTCGATCCCCTGCTCGAAGAGCGGCTTCGGGTGGTGCCTTCATGGAAAGGACCCAGGGACACACAAATAAATAGGCACAAATCCGAGGATTCCCAATATTTTCTATATTTTCTGGGAGTTCGTCTTCCCCTCCACTTCCCATATGTTCCATCTTTTCCCTGGGGGTCGGCGACTATCTGTGCCTGCATTTTTTTTTCCTCCTGATTCATCGACTATGGGCAGATTCCCGTTGGGCAGTCCTTGGCGTCCATGACAGGGTTCAGGAATTTGTCGTGAACAAGCTACCACAGGTGATAGTTTTTTATTCATTGTTTTGCCGATCGGCGCGAGCCCCAAACTCCCCCCTCCCCCCCCCCATGGAGTGGATCTTGGCTGTTTCTTGGCGCCTGTTTCGAGCAGGTGGAGTCTCCCCTCCCATAGGACCCAGTGCCGCAAACAGTCGCACCGAGCAGAGGTCCGGAGCCAGACGCCCCCCTCCCTCCCCCCCTCCTTGCGCCCAATGACGAAGCGCCGATTACAAAAACGCTCACCAGCGACATCTGTTTGCGAGGGTGCACGGGAGGAAAAAGCCCTCTGGACCGGACCATTGGCGTTTACGAAGCGGCCCCTGGGCGTTCACTGAATAGCCCTGCCCTGCTCGATCCCTTCTTTGGGCGCGTCTACGCAGGGCCTCGCGTGTCGGGGTGGTCCTGACTGGGGCGGATGTTCTGCCCTCGAAGGGTGGCTCCCGGTGCTCCGAGTGCAGAGGTAAGGTGCTGCGCGGCCCTCGCCCCAGGGGTCGCGAGGGAGCGGTGCCGTGCCGAGCCCCCGCGGGCCGTGCCGCGGCGTGCTCGGCAGGCCGCCGCGACGATTGCCCGCGTGCAGTGCGGTGCCGGTCGAGCAGTAGCGAAGCGTCTTGGCGTGCCTATAGGTCTACCAAGCAATGTTCTAAGAACCTCTTGTGGTTTCCACGAAATGTTCTTGGAACATTTCTGGCTGGGACTGTTTTGTTCGAACACATCGGGTTTCTGTTCATTGTTTTTGTTCTTAGAACATGCTTGGGTTCTAAAAACATTTCGTGGTAGGCCTGTAGGAATGCCGAGCTTCCTGGATGCGACAAAGTTTCGGGAGCCTTGGGACGGGGGTCGATGCAAGCGGGGGTCACCCAGAGCGCCCGATCTTGCAGGATCCTGCAGGGCCAGGGTCGCACTGACCCGGGTCTGGGTGCAGGATCTTGCAGGAGCTTGCAGGATCGGACTTCGCCTTGACCCGGGCTTGGGTGCAGGATCTTGCAGGATTTTGCAAGGCTTGACTAACCCGGGTTTGGATTAAACCGGGTCAGAAGATCCCCGAAAGTTGCCGTGCCGTGCGTGATTTCGCTAGAACAGAAGAAGAGAACAACACATAAACATTGTTTGTTTCCGCTCCGCGCAGATATCTTGGATTCGCGCTGGACCCCCCTCCATGGCGCGCCGAGCGCGCCAGGGGCGGCGCCAGAGGCGCCGCCGGGGGGGCCCTGGCGCGGATCCAAGAAATCCGCGCGGGGCGCCAAAGGCTTATGGTTGTGTGTGTGTGTGTGCGTGTGTGTTTTTTATCTTCGGTCGAATGCTTAAGAAGACACCGTGCCGCGCCCGCGTGCCGTGCCGTGCAGCTGTCGTTGTCGTGCCGTGCTTGGTGTCCAGAGTGTGCAGAAGTTGCTGTGCCTTGCCGTGCCCGTTTGCCGTGCAGTACGTGCCTTGTCCGTGGAGCTGCCCAGAAGTTGCCATGCCGTGCCGTGCCCGCGTGCCTTTTCCGTGCCGTGACTGGTATTCTGGATGCGGAAAAGTTGCCGTGACGTGTCAGTTGCAGTATTGAGCCTGGTGTTCAGGGTGCGGAGAAGTTGCCGTGTCGTGCTGTGCCTGGTGGATATGAGAATGGGGCCGTGCCGTGCCATGCCGACCATGTGCCGTGTCATGCAGTGTTGGTGTTGAGGGTCCTCCTGCCAGTGTAGTTTCGCTCCGTCTCGATCCTGGGGGCCCACACAGATCGAGCCTGCCCGCGAAGTCAAGCACAAAGGTCGGGTCGATAATCCTGGTCGTGACAGATTCACGACCCCATTTTTTCTTCCGGGCGTCGGATATCGGGCTCCTCATCCTCCAGAGGCCTAGACGTGAACGAGCGCGCGGGTCGTCAGCAGACGACGCCGCTGCACCTGGCCGCTTCGAAAGGAGAGGTCGGCGTCGTCGAGCTCTTGCTGCGCATGCAGGCAGACCCCAGCTCTGTGGACGGAGCCGGGCACTCTGTGCTGCGCTGCGCGGTCGCCGCGGCCGCGGAGCTGCAGGACCAGCAGGGGAGCTGCGGGATGACCGCGGGCGGAACGAGCGTCAGCCAGCAGTTCAAGGTGTGCAGTTTGCTCCTGATCGCGGGGGCGGAGGATACCACTGGTGGGGACGGGGTCGACGGCGAGAAGATTCAGGGCGCCGAGGAGATGATCGAGAGGCACAATCTCACGGGGATGCAGAAGCTGTTCCACCTGCACCGGCGTCTGAGGAGCTTGAAGGAGAAAGTCGCCATTGACGAGGCGTGCGTGGCAGAGCTCTGCGAGCTTCAATTTGAGACGGCCATGCTCGTGATCCACGTGTTCCATCGCTACCTGAGCCCGAGCCCTGCGGCGGCCGCCACAGAGTTTCGAGCATTCGTTGCGTCCGACTACATTCAAGAGAGGAACAAAATCCAGATGATGGGCAACCGTTTAGCCAAGAAGCTGGGTCTCAAAAAACGGGCGGTAGACGTAATTGTTGCGTTGCCTCCTGAGGCTGCTAGACTGGCTCTGAGCACGTTGAAAGTGGAGGAGACGCAGCCCAAGGTATATGATATTTCATACGAGTTGAATCCACATTTGCAGCGTCCTGCTGATGAACTGGACGACGGAGGCGCAGAAGAAGTCGCGCAGCCCCACAACAGCACCGCACGCGACCCCCCCCCTTCAGTTCGGAAGATCATGGAGGACTCTGCGAATCGCTACACGGGCAGGGTCCGGAAGTGGGACTCCGAGCGGGGTTTCGGCTTCGCGGTGCAGGACCCGAAGGACGGCGAGGAGGGATGCAAGGACATATTTGTGCATCGGAAAAACATCGTAGGCAGTACCCCAACCAACCACATCGACCTGAAGGAAGGCGGTAAGATCTCGTACAGGTTGGGCGACCAGGAAGGACGTCCTCGAGCACTTGAAGCAGCGATGATCGACGAGCATGGCGGCTTCCTGCCGATCCATCTCCAGAAGTCCGAGAAGGAATCAGGTCGCGTCGGCAGGGATGAGGTCTCCGATGGCGGAGGCAGTGAGAGTGAGCTGAACTTCACGCGCGCGACGATCCGACACGTCCGGATGAGCCGCGACGTCCAGGAGTGTGCCAAAGAGAAGCGCGTAGATTTGGACGCTTGGTTTCGTTGCACAGGCCTTCGGCGCCATGGCAGCAACCGCCGTGATGACGCACTGTGGAAAAGGGAGGTCGACCGCCGTGTCGAGTTCTTCCTGGAGAAGAGCACATCGCCGCTGCAGAAGCGAGACTTCGACTTCCGGGTGAAGAGGTTCATGCTCGAGTTCTGTGTGCAGAGCTCCGTTGGGAAGGTCAGCGAGACTCTCGCCATGCTCGAAGACCTCACCGTGGGCAAGAGCAGGGACGCCGTGCGGAGCTGGCCCGCCTACCTGGCCACGCTCTTGCGCCGCTCCGACCCCAAGCTGTACGAGAGCTTGGCAGACCGAGATCGCCGCGACCGCCGATCGGATGAGAAGATAAAGGTCACAGGAGAAAAAAGGTACCCCCATATCTCTTCCCTTCGCCCGGTTTCCCCCCCTTTTGGGGCCTCCTGGGAGGTCCTCGTCGCCACCGCTGGGTTCGCCCCCAAACCCTGCTCAGAACGCACCCCAGGAGAGGCCCGGGGAGTAGCGGTATTGGTGCCTTTTGGTTTCCCCAAAAGGAGGAGCCATCTCCCAGCACGGCACTCTCCAACGGCTATGCTGCCGAGCCCGCGCGGGAAGCTTCGGAGGCGGGCGACAGCAGCGACGCGTACTCGGAGGAATTCGAGGCACCGGCCCCGGAGTCTCGGCCGGTGCCCGCCCCAGAGCAACCGCACGACACGGCCGCCGTCAGGCGATCTTTCCAGTGAGCTGCTGCGTAGCGCAGTTGAGGTCGCCCCGGGGGGACGGGAGGGAGTCGGAGGGGAGGGGTCGTGGCGGGCATGGGAAGGGCACTTTGAACAGCTGAGCGACGTCGTGCCGGCACGATCGGAGGGCCTGTTCTGGTTTCTGGTGGGAGAGTGCGGTACTGCCCAAGGAAGGGCATGGCATCCAGACGTTTGACCTCAGGGTGCGGTGCGAGTTTCGAGGCCAGGTGCGCAGCCTTGACAGCCATATTCCTGAATTGACTAGGCCGGTTAATGGGCGACTGATAGTCTGGACTGAGGTCGATTTCATTCCAGACCTCTTGCCAGCTTTAGCAGCTCTCTCCCGAGCCCGCCTTCTCTTTGCAGCGCAGCCATGGGATTCGAATTGTACACACACACGTTGCATTACGAAAAAGTGAGAAGGTCGAATTCCTGACGCTTCGCGCATCTCCACCAGTCATTCCCTTCACAGGAGGCACAGCCTGCCCCTGCCTGCCCAGCGTCCGACCCGCTTCGCGCGCCTGCGTACCAAAATAATCCCCACCAGCCCATCCAGAAACGATGCCCATGAGAGCTGACGGGGGGGCTTCTTGGCGGTCTCCTGGGGAGGCTCCGTGGCCATCTTGAGCCGTCTTGGAGCGGTCTTGGGGCCTTTTGGGACATTTTGGGAGCCATCTTGAGCCAGCTTGGGCTATCTTGAGCCATCTTGGAGGTCATCTTGGGCTCTCTGAGGCCGCTCGGGGGCCTCTTGGGTGCCTCTCGGGTGCCGCTTGGAGGCCTCTTGGGGCTTCTTGGGGCGCTCTGAGAGCTCTCTTGGAGGCCTCTTGGGAGCCCTGGGGGGGCCTCTGGGGGCCATCTTGGAGGCGGTCGGTCAAAAGCGGGGGTACTATATGTAGCTCACCCCCTCGGGGGCCACGATCCTCGTGAGGGGTGTCAAAAATGGCCCTCCCAGGGGCCGAACAAGGACCCTCTGACACATCGGTTCCCCTCCCCCCCCCAAAAAAACGACGGAGGGGAGGGGGAGGGCTTCCCTCCCCGAAGGGAAGAGGGAGAGGAAAGAGACCCTCCTCAGACCACCTGTCGCCCAAAGTGCTGGTGGGATTTGGTTGGCGACACCATATTCGTCGCTGCTGCCCTTTCCAGTCATTGAGCGCGAAGTCCCGCCGAGCCCGAGTATGCTCAAGTCGACGATTGAGCATGCTCGCGGCCCCACTGCAGCAGAGTAGCCAAGAGCCAGTCGAGGACTTTTTGCGGGGAGTGTAGACGTGTTACCAAGAAGCAATAGAGGTGGAGAGGCAGTCAGTTCCAGCGCAAGGGAGCAACAAGTTGGGCGGCGCCAATGCCCACAGTGTTCGACGCAGCTGCCAATGTAACAAAACAAAAAAGAAGACGCAGAACTCGGATGGCAGTGAAGCAGTGTCGCATGCGGCATGGCAGCCCTCGGCCGATGGCATGGGCGTGTGAAGTAGAAGCAGAAGCAGGATTGTGATTTAATGTGGGTGGGGCTTGCTACATGCGTCCTCAGGACGGCGAAGCCAGCCCAGCTTAGCCGTGCCCAGCGCTAACGAGAAGAAACCGTCAGCACCCCACATAACTGATTCAGAAGCCAGGTATCCAATATGTGCTGGTGTTGGTTATTGCACCTGGCGGGTCGGAAAGTTCAGTTGCTCTCAGGGCTTGGTCGCTAGCCCTTGGCAACTGTACTGGCGGGGCTTTACATGGCACTCGCTGAAATTGTATTGGCTATGCACGGTTGCAGGCGCTGTGGTGGTCTTCCCATCGCACGTCCATTGGTTCCACACGCGTCGTGCTAGGCTTGCGTCACGTCGAATGTATGGAGCTACTATGTGTTCGGGGCCAGTATCTTGCTCCTCATGCCTTAGTGGCGTTCGGTTCAGCCCCTTCTGCAGGTTACAAGCAGAACATCGGGTCGGAACCACTGTGCGCGTGTAGACAATTACGCGCGTCATTATCTAGCCGTGAGCTGCCCTTTCGGTTTCCAGCGCCAGCGAACTTCTGAAATCCGGTCTTTGTCCTTGATTCTGGGTCCAGGCTGATAACGTTCACTTCAGGTAGGCTACAGTTGTTGTGCTCAATGGGTGGCAGTAAGAATTCTATGGTTCGAGCCCATCGTTGGAGAGGTGAGGAGACGAAATGGATAAAGAAAGTTTGGTCGGCCAAGACTTCGAGGTGGGGTCGGGGCATAGCCCATGCAAACAAAGATCCAGACGAACCGTCATGCTGACGGCATTGTGTATTTCGTGTTGTCACCTTAGAGTTGCTAAGACGTGTGTGGTTTCTCCACTGGCGCTGTGTTCGCATCCAGTTGCATGGGGGGGAGCCATGCCCACGTGCCAGCGTAGCATCGATATGTCTCGAGGATGCTTCTATCACGGTTCGGCTGTTGCTCTGCATTATCTCTGCGGGTCTCCACGGACCCCGGGCCGGCCTTGATCCGTTGGTTGTGCGATTTTTCTGCCGAGTGTTTCCGAAGAGATCCAGCAGACCAACATTTTTTGGGGGTGATGGTCGGGCCTTGGGCCTGTATGGGAGCCGTTGAAAGAATAGATCGGGCCGCAAGGGGCGGTTACAGGCCATCTTATGCGGTTGTTTAGGTGTTGTCTTTGAAGTTTTTTGGGGGGGCGTTCTGGGGCTACGCTTGGGGTTGCTCAATCCTTTTTGGGAAGCCGTTTTAGACCGAACAGGTCTGGGCATCTCTTGACGCTTCGCGTACCCCCACCAGCCCATCCAGCAACGAGGCCCAGGCGAGTTGCATTGATCAGGGAAGCGTGGGAGCATGCAGTGGACCAAAGATGGGGGACAGCCGTCAAATCGAATATCGGGATCAGCGTGAGCAGGCCGAGGAGTCAACCGTAAACGTCTTCGCGGTCTTTCGATATGGTAGCTTGTGGGCAGCTTACTTGTGCCATCTTGGGGCAAGTGCTCGTGTCTTTGGGACTCTCTTGCGTCCCCCGAGGGGGCGCTCGTTGAGCCATCTTGGAGGACATCGATCAAAGAAGGGGGTTGTTCTCATTTACGCCCCCTCCGTCGGAGGCAGACACGCTGCCTCTTGAGGCGTTCCCAGGCGATTGTGGGGCCGTTTCGGGCCCCTTGAGGGCCCCTCTTGGGGCTCTCTTGGGCCGTCTTACAGCCATCTTGAGGCTTCGTTCTTCCATCGGAAGCGACAAAGCCAGGAGACGAAGCACATTTATTCCTCTCTCGATATTGGAAGGATTTGGGGGGTCCTTGGGCGACGCCATGCCATCTGGAGCCGTCTTGGAGCGGTCTTTTTCTACCTCTTTAAGGTAGGTGAGAGGTTTTCTCGAACTCTAGGTCGTTTCTGGTCGAGCTTCATGCGACCTTGGAGGCCATCATGGGCTATCTGGTGCAATCTTGGAGCGATCATCTACGACGAACGACGAACTTGCTAAACCACCTACGCCCAAAGGGCTGGTGGGATAACCAAGGCAAACTACATGTGGCTCTTTAACTCTGGCTGTCACCCCCGGAGCTTGATGAGCGCGTCTTGTGGGCCTCTTGGTTGGAGCCGTGCTTGGGGCTGTGGGCTGTCGCTTACGCTGTCTTAGGGCGTCTGGGAGGATCTTGCAACTGTATTAGTGGATCGTCGCTCCGTCTTGGGACCTTGCCGGGCCGTCTTGAGGGCCTCGTGGTGGGTCTTGAAGCCAAGCATGGCGCTGCGGAGACACGGGCAGCGCTGCCTCGTTCCACGGCGGGGTGCGGCGAGGGGAGCGCGCGCCCCGAGAAAGTTGAAGCTCTCCCACGCAGGCCAGGGGATATACTGACACACTCTTGCGCGTTTCCTCTTCCGCGTCCTGATCTTCTGCAGTGCCAGTTGTACTACAGTAGGTTGGCGTCTTGTCGACCGGCGGCGACCCGCCGCCGACGTTCAACGTTGAAGGCCGCCGGCGACCCAGAAACGGTCGATGTTGAACGATCTGATGTTTCGCCAACGGCCGATCGTTCCAGGTTGAACGACCCCCGCGGTGTCAGGAACCAACGCCAGGGTCGACACGACACGAACCCGCGGTGCTTCTGTTGCTGGTTGTACGAACGCGCGCGGACAAGGCGTGTTCACAAGATCCATTTTACATTTGATGTTCGTTTTGCCTTGTCACCTTCATGCTGGCTCAAGACCATGCCATCCAAGGCATGGTCGGGCAGGAAACATGCTGCGCCGCCTAATGAAGTTTCACATTGTGCTTGCCTTTTGCGCGTTGTGTGCGGCCGCGCTCCTCCTATTTACATGTTGTGCATCAAAGTGTTTGGGAGCAGCACGCTGTGTCATAAGGGTGATCTGGCATCAAACATTTGCGCAGCCTCTTGGCTGCACGATCGGAGACGTGAGCCCCCGATACGCAGGAGCACGTGCTCGCGGTGGTGCCGTTTGAGCATATGTGGGCAAGCGCATATACATATATATATATATATACATATCTGTAAATGTATAGATGTGTGTGTCTCTGGTATGTGCATATACTCATACACTTGCATACACATGAGCATACATTATTACACGAGTGAAGCTGTCTACACATACATGCGTATAGTCATAGACACGTGTATAGATAGACGGTTATGTATATGCGTGTGTGTGTCATCTTGTGTGATATTTACTTGAGGCATATGCCGCTGCGTTGCCCAGCGATGTATATCATGATCCAGGCGTGGAACTTGGCAAACAGGAGCTTAGGGGCAGGGGCGATTTCACCCATGAGAGTCTGTATGGAGTGGGGAGGGGATGAAGGAGAAGGAGGGTGAACAGGAGGTCTCTACCGAAGCTTAGAGCCTCCCTTCGCCTTACCAGAGTGTGTCCCCGTTCTCTCCACGTCTTCGGTGCGACAAGGGGGCAGCACAAGAGGCCAGGAGGACGGGGCGGAGAATGAGAAGCACGGGGTTCCATATCTCCGACGAGGTTCAAGTTTTTTCTCGTCGTGGGCATCCGGAGGTCTCGACCCTGTCCTGTAGACCGCCATTCTATCCTCAGTTGTTGTTGATGGCCGCATCGCCCCAAAACGGCCCCTTGGAAGCCGAGAGATCTGGAAGGGAACGCCTGCCGTGTTTTTTGTTTCAATGCGTGGTGTTTCGGGAACGAGGAAGTCTCCACAACGAGGGTCACGACCGGCCCTGCGTCAAACCTCCGGGCCCGCTGGCGGCCACCGACTGGCCACGAGAGGCCGCGAGCCAACGAGGCACAACTCTAGGACCACGAGCTGCCGCGGAGTGACGAGTCAAATCTTCAGGTCCGCGAGGGGCCACGCCGGCACGTGCTGCTGGGACAAGTTTTCAGAGCCGCGAGGGCCTATGGGGGGCCGCGGACTGCCGAACCACATCTCCAGATCGTGGCCACGGGCTGCCGAGTCAGATGTCGGACAGCAGATGGCCCGCAAGTTGCGACTCAAGAGAGTAGGCGCAAGGAACTTACAAGGTGTGGGTACTTGGTTTGGGCAGCGTTGATGGGTAGTATGCGGGTGAATGCTGGATGCGATACTAGTGGGGGATGGAAGCGTGGTTGGCCCAACCAGAAGTTAGTGGGTGGGTAGATCGTTGGGTGGGTGGGTGGGTGGGTGGTGGGTGGGTGGCGGTTGAGTTGGTCGGATGGTGGCGAGTAGATGGTTCGGTGGGTGGTTGGTGGGTGGCGGATTGGTGGTCTGTGGATAAGAGGTTAGCAGTGGCCGTTGGGCATGTGTAGGATGGCTGGTGGGTGATGAAAAGGGGATGGGTGAGTGGCGGGTGGGCGGGGCAAACGTACCGCAATGAGCTTCAGGACGAGATGGCGGATTGAAGCGCGAAGAAAGAAAGCACATGTTGTTACATTCAGGCAGTGCTGTGATGCTGTATGGAAATCACGGAAGCCCGCTGCGAAATTTTTTGCGCACACCAGGATTACGAGAAACCGTTGGTCATTGACTTCCGCCCACGCAGTGCACTGTCGATTGCCACCGTCCGCTTTCGAAGCCTGCCGCGCACACCACGGCCTCGAGCAGCCACCAGACCACCAACTTTTGGCAAGTGGGCCGACTCTTGACCTCGGCCTTCCACTTTCGACGCGCACGAAACAAACCAGGCACGCGCGCATGAAATCCCAAGCACGGAATCAACTTGTGATCGCCACCCCTTTTATTTCGGAGCGCGCCGCGCATGCCGTGGCCACGAGCAACCACGAGGCCATGGATTCTCGGCTACGGCATCCACTGCTGATGGCCGCCCTCCGCTTCAGGACGACGCCGCGCACAAGGACCATGAGCAGCCTCCGGCTCTTACCAGCCCGTGGCACGCATCCGCGTGGCCAGGGATTTTTTTGGAGCGATTTTGCATGGGGAGGAGAGGAAGCAGCAGGGGAAACAGAAGTTCAACACAGATTCCGTAGGCACCTGAAGGCCACGTCAAATATTTGCATAGGGGTTTCAACTTGGATCGATGGTCACAGCTTTCGCATGGCAGCGCAGCACACGACGCATCATGGCCAGTTTCGTGGGGAAGAAAAGCATGTAGACATGCGAGGCGATGAGTCGAATCGTTGTGACAGTTGTGGGATTTGATGTAAGTACTAATGTTATGTCACGTGACATTCTAGATTTGCTTGTGATGCGCGCGTGTCTACGTCTGCCAAGTGGCGTTCCATCGCAGGTGTCGTGGGTACCGCTACACTGACTATCCCCCCTCCTTTCCTTTACATCCCGCTTTTGGCTACTTCCGTTCCACATCATGTTCTACATACGTGTGGGCAGGAACTGCGGCTTAGCGTGTCACGCCGCCCGCCACGCTTCGGCGCGATATGCTCACCACGTCCCAGCCCTCAAGCCTCAACGCCTCGAGCTTTCCCCATTCTCCAACCCTACGGAGCGGAGCGATACGCTGATCGCTCGCAGGGCATAACGTGCCGCTGGGGCCGCCGCCGTGATACGCTAAGCAAAAGTCCCCGACCGCACACACACCGCAGGTCGTGGTCCTTCTATATACGTCTCGTTAAATCCACATTTCACTTGTAACAAGTTGCTCCAGATTTGCAGCCTGGCTTGAATGAGTCCATCTGCAGGGTCAACTCTCCTCAGTTGCCCGCCTCTCCATGACCCCCACAGTGAAATGCGAGGCTGTTTTTTTCCCGCGGTGGTCGCCGGGCAATCAGTATTATAGCTAGTCGATCATGGATGTGAGCACGGACGGGTTGAGGGCGAGGCAGTTATTGGATTGCTACGTGCCCGCCAACCAGAAGCTGATACGGGCGCTAATTCTGGAACTGGGTCGCGCGATGAGGATGTCAAGTCACAACAAGCCCGTCCAGTTGCCGTTACAGCATAGGCCGTGTAGTCGCACACTTTCACATGGGTATTGTTTTGTTCGTGCTCGCACTAGCCGAACCGTCGTGGAGCAAGGTCACCAAATTCTGGCAACGGGCATTTCTGATTCATTCGATCAGGATGCACGATTCAGGCCATACAAACCAGAAGTACAGAGTATAGACACAAATGCTTGAAGAGACCATCAGAATTTGCAGAACACTTTGAATGACTGCAGTCATGGGGCGCTACAAGCTGTGAAAGGGAGGCCTCGGGTCAACGCTGTAGGTACTGCGGCGTTGTGCTCGGCTTGCAGTTTAGAGTCGCACGGTCTCTTTGATCGCTTAGTGAAATTGTCTTCTTCTTCTGCATGGTGCACGCATCAGGTAGACATGCGATGTGTAGCACGTAATGTGTTTCTGCGCGGACTTGTTGTTCATGCTAGCCCCAAGCATTCTCACAGCAATCCAACGACTATACCGCTTCTTCGCTCCTACTCGTAAGCCCCAGGGCTGCATTGCTCATACATGATGTTGCACGGCTCTGGCACTGTAGCACATGAAAGTGGACGTTTGGATCATTATTAGTCGGTGAGCTCTATGTCTGGTGTTCACTTCGCGGTATCTACATGTCACTGTTTCCACCATCGATGCGGAGACAATGTTCACATCAGTTGTTTTGTAATCGCTGGGTTTCCTCGCCCCCCAGGGATGTGCGAGCTCCCTATCGCTGCTCCTGTCATTGCTCTGCTCTCTCTCTCTCTCTCTCTTTTGTTCTACCCCATCGGAGGCTCAATCCTTTCTGGGTCGAGCTGGGGGTCGGCCTCAGTTGGCCTGAGGCCGGGGACTGCGGAGGCCCGCTCCGGAGGCCCACGAGATCCGGGAGGCACCAGCAGCGGTCGCCTGGCGCGCGATCTCGGCCGCCGCCCGTTGCCCGGAGAGGAGGGGCCAGCCGCTGCGTGGCAGCAGCGACCGCTCGCCTCGCAGCACTGCTGGCCACCCACCTCTTCGCAGGACTGGCAAAGGCGGGGGGGCCAGCCGGGCCCACCGCCCACGAGCTCGCCAGGCGGCGGGCGGGCTGCCTCTGGCGACCGGGCGCCTCAGCGGCGCGTCGCTGGTCGGCGCCTGGGGCCTGCCCAGCCTGCACAACCCACAGGTTTTATTCGTCCGTGCACGACGATTCGGAGATCCCCGTGGACTCCGAGAACAATTAGGGGCAGGAATGCCAATCAACCCCATCCCCAACCCGCAGCCCCAGAAGTCTCTTGGATCAGGGGCGGGGGAACCTGGATCCCGAGTTAGGAATCCCTGGGCGACCAGACCTGGCCCTTTAGAGCGGAAGGGGTCGGAGGCTGGGCTTTCTCAGCCCAGAAGGAAACGGGATGGTCCTCCAAGGGCGGAGGTAGGGGGGCGCGTATTGCCTCGGCGCGGCCTGGCCCTCCGTCGCGGGCTTCAGGCCCACGCTCTGCTTCGCGGGCGTCCTGGGCGGGCGCCTGGGCAGCAAAGCGGGCGCCGTCGGCGCACCGCGGCTCCAGCGGTGGACGCTGCGGGGGGCCACCCCTGCGGGAGCCTGCGCCCTACGCCAGCCCCGGCGCCGACGCCCGCCGAGCGGGAAGCCCATGCCTGCGTCAACCTGCGACGGGGGGCAATCGGTTGCCGCGGGCCGCCGGAGGCGTCTCCGAGGCGGCGCGAGCGCGAAGGCCGCCAAGGACTGGCCGTCGGGCGCCGAGCTCGACGCGGCCACGCGGCGCCGCCTTGGGAAAGAGGCGGTGCGCGAGGAGAGGTTGGCCGAGGAGGGCGAGTTCGCTCAAGAATAGCTGGTTTGGAGGCTACACATGTACTTCGGCGCGAAGAGCACGCGGCACCCAGAGCCCAACTGCGTCAAGGCGCGCCACCCCTTCGCCGTGCCGGAGCTCGGCCCGGCGAGCCGCCGCGCGCCCGCAAAGATCGTGCAGGCACTCAGGGGGCGCGCCCAGTTTGATCGCTGCCCGCCAGCCGCCAGGCCCGAACCGCGTGCGCTCGATCGCCTCCCGGGCGGGGAAGAGGGCCCATGGGCCAAGTCGCGCGGGGGTCCCGAGGAGATCGCATTGGCCTGGCTTGAATCGGACGCGGCCTTTGTGTTGTTTCCTCCCTTTTCTGAAGGGCCCCAAAAAATCAGGGTCTCAGAGCCTGGCTTGACATATTCTGGCAATTTTGGCGTGCACGAAGGAGTCCCAGAATCTGACACAGTATACCTTTGCATTCAAGAGGTACGCGTAGTGTTTTCGCACAGTCGGAAACAGAGGTGTCGTTCGTGACAGCGTCGGCCTGCCCCTTGTGGTTGGTTGTGGCAGGTCCTCAAGAGGAGAGCCAACCACACGCCGAAACCCTGGAGACGGACTGGGCCAGGGGCGCCCGAAAGAGTGGACATACTCAGTCCTGGACCAGAAAGGAAACCAAAGGAAGTTGCGCAGTCAACTGCTTCTCGGCGGCCCTGGCGCGGCTTAGCCGTTGCCAGGCGAGCCTGGGGCGCGTGCACAAATAATGCCTTGTATGTTGTGCTAAGATGGATATGTTTGGCGAGTGACTCTCGGAGCTATTCCAGGCCACGTTCGGCACCTGGGACACACGGCGCACGACGTTCCGAGCTGGCTCCAGGCCTTCGGCCCCCGAGAGCTGCTCGCCCCCCCCTGGGCGGCTTGCAGGGTGAGGTGGGCGGAGGGCCGGCCCGCCGACGCCAAGCCGGTCCACCTCGCCACCGACGCAGCACCCTTGTTGGCCCAGTCGGGCGACGTTCTCGCGCGCGCGCAGGCCGCGGAGGGGCGGGTCATCGTTGCGGTCGAGTTGCTGGCGCCGCTCGCCCCGGCAGCCGCCCGCGCGAGCCAGCGGGCCTCGGAGCTCGTGGTCTACGTTTCGCGGCCGACGGCTCCAGCGCGAAGATCTGGCCGGCGAAGAGGCGCCCCGAGCACGTCCCGGCGCGCCACTTGGTCCGCCTGGCCGGAAAGATGGAGGCAGAGCACGGCTTCGCCCTCGCGTCGTTCTACGCGCGCACCTACCGCAATGACGCGGCCGACTGCTCGCCAGGAGGGGGGTCAAGAAGGTCCACGGCGCGCCGACATGGGAAGGGCGGCGCAGGATCGAACCACCCGCCAAGCGTAGACAGATGGCGGCGGACGCGAACGACCCGCTTATGAAATTGTTGACGCTTCGCGTATCCCCACCAGCCCATCCTACACCAGGTACCCGAACGAAGAGCGCCGATCATCGGCAGTTGTTCTCCTCCCCCTCTTCCTCCTCCTCCTCCTCCTCCTCCTCCTCCTCCTCCTCCTCCTCCTCCTCCTCCTCCTCCTCCTCCTCCTTCCCCAGCCGCCGCCACGGCTGAAGGGCGAGGGACACGCGGCCCTCCCACCCCGTTCCATCGCCCGCCAGGGGAGCAGCGCGCGATGCCCACGCGCCCGCGGGGCCCAAGAGGCCCATGATGGCGGCTCTCCTCCTGCTGGCGGCCGTCGGCTTCCCGCCGCAGGCGGCCGCCTTCATGTCGACAGGCGCTTTCCGCGCCCCTGGACGCACTCAGGAGCGAGAGCCTCAACCTGTTCAGCACACCAGGCTCTGCACGTACAACCCCATGTACCTGACGGGCTGCACCCGCGCGCAGGAGGTCTCGAGCGAGCTCAACAACATGGGCGTGATCCTTCTCCCTGGGACTAGCCGCCGCCAGGCACAGGACAGCCGCCACAGCCTCTTCAAGCATGACTACCACTGGGAGCTTTCCTTCGGCTGGACTCGGGCCACCAACAAGAGCTGCGGGGTCAGCATCTTCCTACATCACAAGCGGTTCCCGCAGGCACACCTACGTCGGAGTTACCCTCCGGGCCGCGGCGCTCTGCGCTTGAAGAGCCGCTCCTCGGACGTGCTCCTCATGGTTCTGTACTTTCCCGTGCCGTCCGAGTCCCGCTCCAGCCGCAACTCATACCGCCAGGTGACCCAGGCGATGATTTCATGGGCACGCACCACGCTGGAGTCGGTGGGCAGTCGCTGCGCGCCTTTCATCGGGGCGGACCTCAACGACAAGCTCGGCTACTCCGTGGACGAGACGTTTCTCGGCTCCCCGACCCCGCGCTTGCTCGAGCCCGACTCGTGGAGCGAGATCGACTGCGCCGTAGGCCCCTTCCAGGAGCAGGAGGGCCTCGCAGGACGTCTCTGGCGCCAGTTCCTCACGGACCACGGCATGGCCGCGCTGAACACCTTCTTTGACAGCGGGGACACCTTCTTCGGGGCACACGGACGGTCTAGCAGGATCGACTTCCTCCACGCCCCATCCGCCCTAGTGTCTCACACACGCCAGCGCAAGGTCCTGATGGGGGCAGGCCGCCGCCCCCAGCCCATCAACACATTGGACGATCGAGACCACCGCCCTGTCTATGCGGACGTATTCTATACCTTCGAGGCCCACGCGCAGCCCAAGCACACCTGGGACTACGACACGATCATGCTTCGTCTTCGCGGACAGCACACCACCGCCGCGGACCTCGAGACCATCCACCAAGCAGTGCTGGACATCGACGAACCGACCTGGCAGTACCTCTGCACCAGACCGACGACGGACGAGCTGTGGAACTCCGTCGCCTCGCTGATGGTCGACTGCGCGAAGGAGATCTTCACCCGACCGACTCCCGCACAGGCCGAGAAGACCGTCCTCGAACGGCAACGTTCCGAAGCTCTTCGCACTCGACGCGACCTCCGCGCTCGCTTCACTGGCTCCGACCCCTCGCACAACACGGAACTCATCGAGACGGAGCTCCTCTTGGCGCGCCTGACCTACCGCATCCGCGCCCTCTCCTACCGCATCACCACCGAGCGGAACGCCAGCCTCACGGAGGAGCTCAACCAAGCATGGACACAGCACGACCACTACAACGTCCAGCGCCTCATCCGACGCTTATCTCGTCGCGGCCGTGGCCCGCGCCACAGACGCTACTTCACCGCGAGGGGCGAGAACTGCGACCCCGCCGACATCCAGTCCTACCTGCAGCGGCCCGCCTCCCTCGGCGGCCTGGGCGCCAACGTCTGCGACCTCCAGGACGAGCTCACCCACCGCTTCGACGCCCCCCACTCGGGGGAGGAGGCGCACCGTACCGACCAGATGCGATACGACGCGGTGCAGATGGCGAACCTCGAGATGGCGAACTACGACCTGCTGGGGATCATACGTGAGCTGCGCAGGGCCCCGAAGCGCAGGGCCTCGCCCGCGTGGCCCATGCCCTCGGAGCTCTGGCTTCTGCTTCTCGACCCCGCACGATGGGAACAGTATCGGCTGGGCGGAGTGGGGCACGTCGAGCAGTCGAGCACACCACGACGTTCCTCGCCTTTCAGGAGAGGTTCGTCGACATCCTCGCCAGCTTCAGGCGCTCGGACTCCACCCCGTTGATCTTCGACGTTTCATCCTGCGTGGGCCTGGACAAGCGCAACGGCAAGTCTGGGCCCGCGAGCATGCGGTGGAGTCACCTCTTCTGCCCGATTGGGAAGTGCTGGCATGCTCACCTGTGGCAGCGGAACACATCCGAGCGGGAGGTACTACCATATTACTGCCACGGCTTCGCCCGCAGGCGGCGGCGCGAGGACGCCATCGCGGTGCAGTCCTGTCTCTCCTGGCGCCCCGGTCAACTCCAGATCCCACACATGATAGTGAATGAGGACGCCACCAACGCCTTTGCGAGCACAGATCGCAACGTGATCTACGACGCACTCGGCTCGCTCTACCGCGCCGAGGATCTTTCTTTCCAGCGCAATAGGACCACCTACAGCGCCTGCCAGATCGACACTATGGAGGGCCCCCTCGCCTTGCGCCCGACCTCAGGAGAGCTCATGGGTCACCCGAATCCCGCCCGCGCCTTCCCCTACTACTACTTCGAGGGCATCGCCCCGTTCCTGGCACGTCGGACCCATGCGAGATCCCAGGTCCTGACGGAGGCTCACGAGAGACGAGACGACCGCGGACGTGGGCATCACGATCTACGCCGACGACATCACGATGACGGTGATCCCCGACGAGATTCCTGTGGGCACCCCCCTGGGCTCCGCGGCTTCAGCCTTCCTGGGCCAGGTCGCCGACCACAGTAGCCACCTCTCGGAGACCCTCGGGACCATCGGGGTGCACCTCAACCTCGACAAGCGGGCCTCGGTGGCTCGGATCTCGGGACCTCGCAGTAACACTTCGACGCGCCTCCTCTATGGCGGCTCCTGGCAGTACCGCGGTGTCTTGGGGCGGCGCCTTCGGATTCTTGGAGGCTGGCTTGCTTCTACGAGCTCTCTACAGGTTGAAAAGGCGAAGCGTCTCCAGGCAGGACGCTCGGGTCTAGGAATGATCTCGAACTTTCTGGTCCATGATGCAGCCCACGGCGTCAAAAGAATGGCCGTGATCTCTTTCGCGCAGGGTGCCCTTCTGTCAGGCATGGAGGGTCGGATCCCAGACAAGAGCTTTGCCGCCGCTTCGGACGCTTAAGTACTTCGCGCGCTCCGCCGCGCACTCGGTCGACGGGGCCTGGAACCTCAGGCTGACGGCGAACTACATCGCTGGCCTGCCCGTCGGCTCTGGCAGCACTGGCGCCTTCTTCCTACCCTTGAGGAGTTACGAGTTCGCAGACTAAAATGGTATCAGTCTTGGTGCCGCCACCCCTCAGACCATCGGCAGGTTCGAGCGTGCATCCTGGGGAGCATCGGGGACGGGGACTCCATGAAATCCGACTATACCCTTCACCCCGACGCTAATCCATGGGCAAAGCAGGTCCTATCGGACCTCGAGTTTGCGCACCGCCACTCGGAAGAGTTCCAGGATCACGTTCCCGAAGACCGCCCCCCTACTACAGGTGTGCTACTGCTCCGACTACAAAAACTGGGCCTACATTGACTTCACCATCTTGAGATCAAAAACGCTCAGCCACCAGTTCGCCCCGCCTGGCCTCCAAAGGGACCCCAACGACGACGAGCTCTCACGAGGAGAAGACGAAGGCAGGCTGCGGCCCTACAGATGCAAGATGACGGACGACGACGGGAACCCCTGCGGGGACACCTTCGGCTCCATTAAGGCCCTCCCCCTGCATGCCAACAGGGTCCACAGGGTGCGGAACGAGGCCTCCCTCCTCACGGTGACGAACCAGTGTTACAGATGCCTCCAGGTCCTCAGTACGAGAGAAAACGCACAGCGCCACGTCATGCGCAGCTACGCTCGTAATATTTGCACCCGAGGCCGAAGCAGTTTCCTGTCGCACGAAGTCCAGACGCCCGACATCTTACAGTGCCCCGTATGCAGTCATTATGCCCGAGACCTTCTTGCTCTTCAGATCCATATTCGCGGCCACTGTTCTCTTCCTGAGCCGCGGGTTCGTCTACAGGGCGCCCTGCGACGCGATGGCTTCCTCGGCGTTGGCACCCCCCGCCCAGCAAGAAATGGACCTCTCCGCGCTGCTCAAGCGGCACAAGCCCTCGGGCGGCTCCGCCACCGAGAAGGTCGAGCCCAAGGACAAGCGCCAGCGCGGGCCCGCGATCGCCTCCATGGCCGACGCCTCGGAGGATGCCCTGATGGCGGTGGAGGGCGCCCTGAAGTCGCGCGACCTGCAGCAGGCGGTCACGATCCTCCTCAAGATGGCGTGCCAGCACGCCCAGCAGCTCAGGGACCTCGCCGCCTCGGAATGGATCAGCATCGTGCTCCCGTCCACGGCCACTTCGATCGTCGCAGCTCGGGAGGCGGGCAAGCTGTGCTCAGAGGCGGCGCAGATTCCCGCGGCGAAGCCCGTGCTCAACTCACCACATTTGTACATCGCTCACGCCGTGTTCAAGCGCCTGTCGGCCTCCGAGGAGGCGAAGCAGAAGGCCCCGCAGGGGCACGCGCTCCTGTGCACATTCTACCAGCAGTTCGTTTGCAAGGTGACGGGCTCGGAGCTGCGCCTGATGGTGCGCCACTTCAGGCTGCGCAAATGCTACAACGACCAGTGCACCAGGGCGCAGTTCGCGTTCGCGGACAAGATCACGCTGAAGTACGACAACCCAGACGGCCCTCGGGAGACTACGGCATCCAAGCTCGAGCTCGAACAGAGCCTCGTGAAATGCTTCGAGGCGGAGGGCGGACGTCAGAAGATGGGGGCGGCACCTCAGGGCCACTTGGAGTCGATGGCCCAGAAGCTGCTCGACAAGAACCGACAGACCCACCAAGGCCAGAAGGGCAATGGCGGCCGCAAGGGCTGACGTGGGAAACCCGCCTTCATCAGTTGCGGCAGCGGATCCTACTGAAAGAGAGGGGCACCCCTCGCACTACGTGACGACGTGAGTTCCTCCAGCAGCTTCGCTGTAGCACCATGCCCCTCTAGCCTCCCACGCCGCCCCTGGTCTCTTGGGCGCGCCGTCGGATAATTTTGTGTTTCGGCCTGGTTTTTGTTTTCCTTCTCGGGGCCTCTGGGTGCCCAGGGAGCCTGCTCGGTGCTCGCAGCGCCGTCGAGCTCGGCCCCCAGGGGCCAGAGGGGTATCACCCCCCGCCCGCGGGCGGCTGCACGGCGCGCCCACACGCCTGACCTCGTTCGGTCCGAGGAGATCGCACGATAGCTCAGAGGTGTCCCCGAGTGCTCTCTCGTTTCGTGAGCTCGTGGGGGTGAGTGTCATCAGACTCACGGCGCAATGCCGAGTCCATCCATCCATCCATCCTCCTTCCCCTTCTCCTCCTCCTCCTCCTCCTCCTCCTCCTCCTCCTCCTCCTCCTCCTCCTCTTCCTCCTGTCGGCGTCTTGGAGGTATCTTGAGGCGTTTTGGTGGGCTCGTGGGCCTTGCGGGCGGGCGGGCGGCGCTCCGCCCAACCGCGCGCAGGGCCCAAGAGGAGGGTCTAAGACGCTTCTTGGAGCCATCTTAGAAGAGATCGGTCAACGAAGGGGGGTTCCTAAATTACAGCCCCCCCCTCAGGAGCCACGATCCTCGTGAGGGGTGTCGAATTTCAGCCTTCCCAGGAGTCGATTTTGGGCCCTCTGACCGCTCGCGGCCCCCCCTGCCCAGGTCAGTGGGGGGGGGGGTAGGGGGAGGGGTAAACCCCTCCCCGAAGGGGAAGAAGGGGGTTGGAAGAGAAACGCGTTAGACCACCTACGCCCTAAAGGGCTGGTGGGACTCCTCTTCAAGACCGGCCCGCTGACGGAGGCAACGCTGCGGCACCGTGCGTTCCGACGCCCAGGTGGGCCCCGCGGAACCGGGGGCCGTTGGCGGGATTCGCCGCGCGCGAGCTGGGGGGGCCCCCGCGCCCTTGCCCCGGCGCGCGCGCCGAGCAGGGCGCGAGGAGGCCGACAGTACAAAGCCCGACGCATCGCCTGTGAATGGCGCCCCTCTCCTAGGGGCCCCGCGGCTTAGAACTCGACGCCGAGCAGCGATCGCCCCGAGCCGGCGGCGATGAGCGCCGCGACGCGGCCGGCCTGCGAATCGCCCATGGCGCGAAGCACCTGCTCTAGAAGGAGGGGGGCCACGCGGGGCGGCTCGACTCCTCAGGGGTAGATCGCGCGGGGCCCGATGATTCGGTCGACGGGCGACCCGCTCTTCCCCGAGGCGGTCGGACGCGTCGAGATGAGCGACGCCCGGCAACTGATCCACGGCGAGGACGGGCCCGCCAGCACTTTTCTGGGCCACCCCGCGGGGCCCAGCGCCACCCCCCCTCTGCGCCCGGGGCAAGAGCGCCGGGAAAGTCCTCGCGCTGGCCGCATCGCGGGGTCTGGCGGGTTCAAGGGGGCAGCGCCGCCGATTGGGGCAGCGCCTTGCAGGCGGCAAAACGATGGGGGAGTTGCCGCGGGCCGCAGCCAGGGCCACCCCGCCAGAGACCGCCCATGCAATCCTCAGCGCGGCCGCGGACGCCATGGCCGAGCAAGACGGCGCCCGCGCCGGCGCCTGCTGGGGCCCGGAGGAGCAGGCAGCCCGGGAGGAAGACCAGCGCCGATTCCGAGCCAAACATAGCCTCAGAGAGCCCGAGCCAGCAACTGAGCGAGGTCGCAGCCGAGAAGGCGGGGGGATGGGGGTCCCCAGCGAGGAGGTCCGTAAGACTCAAGCGGCCAGGTTCAAGTTAATCGAAGACGACACCATCACGGGAACATCGCAACTCCTTGCGCGAGCAGCGCCAAGCTCGCACGGGCCGGTTGCGCGCCGGCGGGGCCCGAGCCAGGGGGGCAGGGCAAGGCCTTGGACGCTGCGCCACGCGCCCCGGCGATGCCACGGGCGCCCGGGAGAGCGCCGGGGCCGCCAAGCTGCGCCCCGGGCCCCGAGGCACGGGGCCCGGGCGCGGAGCTTGGCTGCCGGCCCAGAAGATGGAGGCCGTGCCCCAGAAGCTCAACGGAGGATCCCGCAGCGGGCGCGAGGACGGCTGCCGCCAGCGGGCGGCCTCCGCAAGGCCTCGACCACCGGCTCGCCCGCAGGGGCCGGGAGGGGCGCGCGAAGGGCGACGGCGCGCCCATCGACTTCTGCGCGGTCTCGTCGACCGTCCTTGGAGGCACCGCGGGGGCCGCGTAGCAAGCGACTCTTTACCGTCCGCCACGCGCGCCTGTCGTCGGGGCGCCGACCAATTGCTCCATCGCGGGGGCCCTGGGCCACTCTGGCCAGTCTCGAGAGGTGACGGGGGGCCGCGACCAAGCGCGAGTGGCCCGTGACCCGCGGGGTGCCGGTTTGACATGGGCTTTTTCCACGGGCCGCCCGCACCGGACATCTGCGCGGCCCGGGCCGCGATCTTGACGGCCTTCTTCGCCCTCCCGAGGGCCAAAGAATATATGGCGCAGGCAGCGAGGTCTTCGTCGGCGGAGCTGGCCACCCACGGTGGCGACCTGAATTGCGTCCGCAGGGGAAAGGGCCGCCGCGCTCCTGGACGCGGACGAGGCGGCCATCCACATCATCTGATGTGGATGCCTCGACCGCGGGAGGAAAGGCCCCCAAAACGACCAAAACAACGTCGGCGCGGCCCGAAACCAGCTCGTTGCGCAGTCTGTCCTGCGACCCCCCTTGGAGCGCTCGCGAGCGCGTGCGAGCGCTTGGGCCCTGTGCTCGACATATTTCCGCGGTCGCACGCCCAATGGCGCCGCGGCCGTGGCCCCCTTCGCGCGGCGGGCGGATGCCAGACACGGCGAGCGCATATCCTGGCAATCCATCGTCGTCATCATCTGACCGTTGCCGCTTCCTCCTCATGTGAGCCTCGCTGCGCAGGCTCGAGCTTTCTTCCGTTCGCACTCACTGTTGTCGAGGACGGCTTTCTTGTAGACAATCGAACCGATTGGTTCGCGCCTCTCTCAATTTCTTTGTTTGTTCACGCTCTCTCTCTCTCTCTCCCTCTCTCTCTCTCTTTTCTCTCTTTTTTTTTGTTCTCTCTCTCTCTCTCTCTCTCTCTCTCTCTCTCTCTCTCTCTCTCTCTCTCTCTCTTAGGTGTATATATATATATACACATTTCTCTCGTTATACTTCTCTCTGCGTTCCTTGAAATGTGCTGTTTGTTTCTCTCTCTCTCTCTCTCTCTCTCTCGTTCTTTCTTTTTTTCTCTCTCTCTCTCTCTCTCTCTCTCTCTCTCTCTCTCTCTCTCTCTCTCTCTCTCTCTCTATATATTTCGCTTTCTAGATATGTGTGTATATATATATATACATATGTGTACATGTCGCTTTCGCCTTCTCGTTCTCCGTATTTCTGTCTCTCGCTCGCCCCCCCCCTTGGCCCCATGACTACCTACCGTGACGCGTCTGTTTTGGTTTGTGGCAGGTCTACGGGTGCCAACCTTCAAGAACAGGACTTGGCATTACCCTGTTGTTGTTGTTGCCTGCCTCTGACACATAGCATTCATGGTGCGGACTCTTGTGAAACTCGCATCTCAAGCGGCGCTTGCAATATTGGTTTGCGTAGCACCCCGCAGACGCGGATGAGAGTGGTGGTGGGGGGCGGAAGCGCTGGCAGATTGTGAGGTTTTGAAGAAGCCCGTCGCAGGCGCATATTTGTGACAAACTATACAACAAGCCCGCCGCAGGCGCCGATTTTTCTGTTAAAGCAAGGTGGGTGGGTCGCGGGCCAGGTCGCGGGCCAGGTCGCGGGTGGGTCGCGGGCCAGGTGGGTCGCGGGTGGGTCGCGGATGGGTCGCCGGTGGATCGCGGGTAAGTCGCGGGGTGGATCGCGGGTGGGTCACGGGGCGGGGCGCGGGGGGACGACGCCAAACAACAACAACAACAACAACAACAATCATTTTACCCGAACGCTCAGTGTTCTCCCCAGTGCCAGGGTTTTCATGCGACGCCAGCCAATACCCCCACTTCGTGGGGGGGCAATGCAAGCTCTACCAAACATCCACACGACTCTAGGGAACCACCCGCACCCAGCTTCCCGCCCTATGACGTCAGGACACTTCACTTCGTGGCGCGCGGACGATCGTGGATACTACACTGGCGTGGAGGACACACCCGCAGAGGTTGATCACTTGTTTGGGCCCCGCATGTGCCCCGCATCGTGCATTCGTTGCGCATGACATAGAGAGAGCAAGACAGAGAGAGAGAGAGAGCAAGACAGAGAGACAGAGAGAGAGAGAGAGAGAGCAAGACAGAGAGCCAGAGGAGAGAGAGATAGAAAGAGATTCGTCACATGTGTGAGGCAACCTGAGAAGATGTGGTACACGGTACACGTGAGATGGTACGCACTGCCAAGATAGTTGGTCACATTTTTGTGGCAATTTCCTGGGAAGGCGATTGCACAAGTAGATGTGTTCATATGATAGATATGAAGCAGAGAAAAAGCGAGAGACATAGAGAAGGAGAGAGAGGAGTCGGTCACATCTTTAGGGCAACTTCCTGAGGGATGTGGGAGGACACAAGAGAGAAGGTATCGTTGTCCCGATGGTTGTCTCGATGGTTGCCCCGATGGTTGTCCTGATGGTTATGGTTGTCCCGATCGTTTTCCCGATGCTTCTCCAAATGGTTGTCCCGATGGTTGTCCCGATGGTTGTCCCGATGGCTGTCCGTCTGCGATGCAATGTTGTCTGTTTCTGCTGTTATACAGTCCCAAGGATGACGCATGCATTGCTCATACTTTCTCCTGCTTTCGCAAACAGGTCCAGTCACACTATGAATATACTTTGTCCTACATAGCGGTATCGAGAGGAGGTCGGAGACCTCCTCTCGATACCGCTTGCCGCACGCCGCCTCTAGAGCCTCCACCGTCATCAGCGTCATACGAACCACATCTGTGGAGGAAGAAGCTGCCGTGGCCTGCTGCTTGGATACGGGCTCCTCCCAGTCGACCGCGGCAGGCCGTTTGGCCACGCGGGCAGATCCGGCGGCGGCTGGCCGTTTCAATACACCGCCTGCGACCTGTGCCGCCGGGCGCTTCAATACACGCTTGGTGACGGCCTGGGCGGATGAGGCCGCCGCCTGCACTGAAGAGCTCACCGACGCATACGCATCGCACCACTGTCTCAACACTCCTCGGGACACCAAGACAGCTTTCCGTCGCATACGCAACACGGCATGCAAGGTGTGGTACTTCAGCCCTGGATATACCGCGCGCATGTGGTCACCAAGTGCCGCGTCGAGCTTGTCAGCCGTGTCATACTGCAAAGGTCCGGAGTCAGGGTGATACTTCACGTACCATTGCCTCAAAACCATACCGCTGACAGCGACGGGAGGGTCGCTCTCCGAGAGAATCTGCGAGAGGACCTCCGCGGCGGCCTCGTCGGCAAAGCTCTCCCGATACTGATTGAGTCGGCGGCCGAGGGCGCAACATATGGCGCAACCGCAAGGGATTCTGGCCCCTGGCAGGCGCGCGGACCCCGTTGCAAAGATGCGAAAGTAGCTCGCGCGAGCTCATGTAACATAAATGTTGGAAAACCATTGGTTTTTTGAGAACGGACAGCGCGCGCGGGTGGAAATTTTGAAAAGTCGTGCAGGTGTTTTTCGAGGACCTACGGTGCGATTCGTGTGATTTTATGATGCGCGGTGCTAAAATTCTTAAAAACCCAATGATTTTTGGAGATTTCGGCGTGCGCGCGCGAAGAAAAAACGAATATGTCCCGCATGGTATTATTTGACAGGGATGATGGCCCTGGCAGGTGCGCAAACGTTGTCGCAGAAGTTCGAAAAAGTTGCTCGCAAAAGCCCGTTTGACAGAATTGTTTAAAAAGTGTTGGTTTTCCTACGAATCCGCAAGAGCGCGCGGAAGAACATTTTGACAATTTTTTCTTAAAAAACCATTGGGTTTTTGATGTTTTTATGTTAAAATCGCTACGAAACCTAAGGTTTTGGAAGGATTTCGTCTTGCGCGCACGAATGTCCACTTTACCTTATTTTTTGCAAGGGATTCTTGCAATTTGATCAAGTAAGAACAAGAATTTTCATTTTATAGTGTTTTTTGCAAGGGAAAACGGAGTACAACAAAACAACCGGATCCGGTAATAATTCACTTTTCTGAAGCTTTCGCTAAAAAATGATGAAAATGTAGCTGCGGCCTAGGTTTTGGAGGGGGGTCGCGCACCAGGGGTCCCAACAATAATTATTCTTTAGAAGTAATAATGTTCAACAACAACAACAACAACAACAACAACAACAACAACAACAACAACAACAACAATCATTTTAAGACTGTTCGTTCTTATCTGTTCACGTGTCATTCAATATGCATATCCCAAACCATGGATACCCGCCCTGTTCGTCTTTGATCGTACCCCCTTTTGGGGGATATATTCATTCCCTGCCACGCGTGGTTGGTGAAGGCCTTGGAAACGAAGGGTAACAGATAACGGGGGAGAAGGAGGACGAAGGGATCGGAGGAAGAGAGGGGAGGGGCAAGAAGGAGGGAGGACGATGATTTACGGTGCGAGTGGCGATTCAGGTTGCTCCAGCCACTCCAACACAGGTTCACAATAAAATCAGTTTCGCCATAGGTCGCGCCATAAACAACGCCACGTACCACCCCTTGAAAAAAAACATATCGTGGATACCCCAACGGGGGAGATGAGCGAAGGGAAAGAAAACGACGCACTTCGTGACCCCCGCGTGTTCATACGACGGGCGCGAACGAGCGGGGGCCACGAAGGGCATACATGTATGGGGCCAGAAAGGGCAATAGCGGGGCCCACGAAGGGCAACAAATTGGCCACGACGGGCAGCGAGAGGGCCACGAAAGGCGACAGCGGGGTTACGAAGGGCATGCGTATGGGGCCACGACGGGCGACCTGCGAGCGGGGGCCACGAAGGGCATTCAATCCGGGGCCACAGAGGGCAGCGACGGTGCCGCTGAGGGCAGCACCGGGGTCACGAAGGGCAGCGAGGGGGCCACAAAGGGCAACAGCGGGGCCACGACGAGCATGCATATGGGGCCACGACGGGCGCGATCCGTAGGGCATTCGTAGATGGGGCCACAAAGGGCGACAGCGGGGCCACTGAGGGCAGCAAAGGAGCCACAAAGGGCAGCGAGAGGGCCACGAACGGCGACAGCGGGGCTACGAAGGGCATGCGTGCGGTTGCGAGGAAG